CGGGACACCAGCCCGCAGCCAGCTTGAAGGCAAATCGAGGCCAGCTGGTGCTTGAAAGCTGGTGCGGGCTGGTGTCCCGCACCAGCTTTGAGGGCTGCTTGAGCCAGCTGGTGCTTGAAAGCTGGTGCGGGACACCAGCCCGCAGCCAGCTTGAGGTGCTTGAAAGCTGGTGCGGGACACCACCCCGCAGCCAGCTTGAAGGCAATCGAGGCCAGCTGGTGCTTGAAAGCTGGTGCGGGCTGGTGTCCCGCACCAGCTTTGAGGGCTGCTTGAGCCAGCTGGTGCTGGAAAGCTGGTGCGGGACACCAGCCCAGAGCCAGCCTGAGGGCTGCTCGAGGCCAGCTGATGCTTGAAAGCTGGTGCGGGCCACCAGCCCGCAGCCAGCTTGAAGGCAAATCGAGGCTAGCTGGTGCTTGAAAGCTGGTGCGGGCTGGTGTCCTGCACCAGCTTTGAAGGCTGCTTGAGCCAGCTGGTGCTTGAAAGCTGGTGCGGGACACCAGCCCGCAGCCAGCTTGAGGCCTGCTCGAGGCCAGATGATGCTTGAAAGCTGGTGCGGGACACCAGCCCGCAGCCAGCTTGAGGGCTGCTCGAGGCCAGCTGGTGCTTGAAAGCTGGTGCGGGACACCAGCCCGCAGCCAGCTTGAAGGCAAATCGAGGCCAGCTGGTGCTTGAAAGCTGGTGCGGGCTGGTGTCCCGCACCAGCTTTGAGGGCTGCTTGAGCCAGCTGGTGCTTGAAAGCTGGTGCGGGACACCAGCCCGCAGCCAGCTTGAAGGCAAATCGAGGCCAGCTGGTGCTTGAAAGCTGGTGCGGGCTGGTGTCCCACACCAGCTTTGAGGGCTGCTTGAGCCAGCTGGTGCTTGAAAGCTGGTGCGGGACACCAGCCCAGAGCCAGCTTGAGGGCTGCTCGAGGCCAGCTGGTGCTTGAAAGCTGGTGCGGGACACCAGCCCGCAGCCAGCGTGAAGGCAAATCGAGGCCAGCTGGTGCTCGAAAGCTGGTGCGGGCTGGGGTCCCGGCTGGTGTCCCGCACCAGCTTTGAGGGCTGCTTGAGCCAGCTGGTGCTTGAAAGCTGGTGCGGGCCACCAGCCCGCAGCCAGCTTGAGGGTGCTCGAGGCCAGCTGGTGCTTGAAAGCTGGTGGGGCTGGTGTCCCGCACCCGCTGCTTGAGCCAGCTGGTGCTTGAAAGCTGGTGCGGGACACCAGCCCGCAGCCAGCTTGAGGGCTGCTCGAGGCCAGCTGGTGCTTGAAAGCTGGTGCGGGACACCAGCCCGCAGCCAGCTTGAAGGCAAGTCGAGGCCAGCTGGTGCTTGAAAGCTGGTGCGGGCTGGGGTCCCGGCTGGTGTCCCGCACCAGCTTTGAGGGCTGCTTGAGCCACCTGGTGCTTGAAAGCTGGTGCGGGACACCAGCCCGCAGCCAGCTTGAGGGCTGCTCGAGGCCAGCTGGTGCTTGAAAGCTGGTGCGGGCAACCAGCCCGCAGCCAGCTTGAAGGCAAATCGAGGCCAGCTGGTGCTTGAAAGCTGGTGCGGGCTGGTGTCCCACACCAGCTTTGAGGGCTGCTTGAGCCAGCACATGCTTGAAAGCTGGTGCGGGACACCAGCCCGCAACCAGCTTGAGGGCTGCTCGAAGCCAGCTGGTGCTTGAAAGCTGGTGCGGGACACCAGCCCGCAGCCAGCTTGAAGGCAAATCGAGGCCAGCTGGTGCTTGAAAGCTGGTGCGGGCTGGTGTCCTGCACCAGCTTTGAGGGCTGCTTGAGCCAGCTGGTGCTTGAAAGCTGGTGCGGGACACCAGCCCGCAGCCAGCTTGAGGGCTGCTTTGGTGCGGGACACCAGCCCGCAGCCAGCTTGAAGGCAAATCGAGGCCAGCTGGTGCTTGAAAGCTGGTGAGGGCTGGTGTCACCAGCTTTGAGGGCTGCTTGAGCTAGCTTGTGCGGGATACCAGCCCGCAGCCAGCTTGAGGGCTGCTCGAGGCCAGCTGGTGCTTGAAAGCTGGTGCGGGACACCAGCCCGCAGCCAGCTTGAACGCAAATCGAGGCCAGCTGGTGCTTGAAAGCTGGTGCGGGCTGGTGTCCGTCCCGCACCAGCTTTGAGGGCTGCTTGAGCCAGCTGGTGTTTGAAAGCTGGTGCGGGACACCAGCCCGCAGCCAGCTTGAGGGCTGCTCGAGGCCAGCTGGTGCTTGAAAGCTGGTGCGGGACACCAGCCCGCAGCCAGCTTGAAGGCAAATCGAGGCCAGCTGGTGCTTGAAAGCTGGTGCGGGCTGGTGTCCCGCACCAGCTTTGAGGGCTGCTTGAGCCAGCTGGCGCTTGAAAGCTGGTGCGGGACACTAGCCCGCAGCCAGCTTGAGGGCTGCTCGGCCAGCTGGTGCTTGAAAGCTGGTGCGGGACACCAGCGCAAATTTAGGCCAGCTGGTGCTTGAAAGCTGGTGCGGGCTGGTGTCCCGCACCAGCTTTGAGGGCTGCTTGAGCCAGCTGGTGCTTGAAAGCTGGTGCGGGACACCAGCCCGCAGCCAGCTTGAAAACAAATCCAGGCCAGCTGGTGCTTGAAAGCTGGTGCGGGCTGGTGTCCCGCAACAGCTTTGCTGCTTGAGCCAGCTGGTGCTTGAAAGCTGGTGCGGGACACCAGCCCGCCGCCAGCTTGAGGGCTGCTCGAGGCCAGCTGGTGCTTGAAAGCTGGTGCGGGACACAAGCCCGCCGCCAGCTTGAAGGCAAATTTAGGCCAGCTGGTGCTTGAAAGCTGGTGCAAGCTGGTATCCAGCTTTGAGGGCTGCTTGAGCTAGCTGGAGCTTGAAAGCTGGTGCGGGACACCAGCCCGCAGCCAGCTTGAAGACAAATCGAGGCCAGCTGGTGCTTGAAAGCTGGTGCGGGCTGGTGTCCCGCAACAGCTTTGCTGCTTGAGCCCGCTGATGCTTGAAAGCTGGTGCGGGGCCACCAGCCCGCAGCCAGCTTGAGGGCTGCTCGAGGCCAGCTGGTGCTTGAAAGCTGGTGCGGGCTGGTGTCCCGCACCAGCTTTGAGGGCTGCTTGAGCCAGCTGGTGCTTGAAAGCTGGTGCGGGACACCAGCCCAGAGCCAGCTTGAGGGCTGCTCGAGGCCAGCTGATGCTTGAAAGCTGGTGCGGGACACCAGCCCGCAGCCAGCTTGAAGGCAAATCGAGGCCAGCTGGTGCTTGAAAGCTGGTGCGGGCTGGTGTCCTGCACCAGCTTTGAGGGCTGCTCGAGCCTGCAAGCAGCTGGTGCTTGAAAGCTGGTGCGTGACACCAGCCCGCAGCCAGCTTGAGGGCGGGCTGGTGTCCCGCACCAGCTTTCAAGCACCAGCTGGCCTCGAGCAGCCCTTCAAGCTGGCTGCGGGCTGGTGTCCCGCACCAGCTTTCAAGCACCAGCTACCTCAAGCAGCCCTCAGAGCTGGTGCGGGACACGAGCCCGCACCAGCTTTCAAGCACCAGCTGGCCTCGATTTGCCTTCAAGCTGGCTGCGCGGGCTGGTGTCCCGCACCAAAGCAGCCCTCAAGCTGGCTGCGGGCTGGTGTCCCACACCAGCTTTCAAGCACCAGCTGGCTCAAGCAGCCCTCAAAGCTGGTGCGGGACACCAGCCCGCACCAGCTTTCAAGCACCAGCTGGCCTCGATTTGCCTTCAAGCTGGCTGCGGGCTGGTGTCCCGCACCAGCTTTCAAGCACCAGCTGGCCTCAAGCACCGCTGGCCTGGCTGCGGGCTGGTGTCCCGCACCAGCTTTCAAGCATCAGCTGGCCTCGAGCAGCCCTCAAGTTGGCTGCGGGCTGGTCCCGCACCAGCTTTCAAGCACCAGCTGGCTCAAGCAGCCCTCCAGGCTGGTGCGGGACACCAGCCCGCACCAGCTTTCAAGCACCAGCTAGCCTCGATTTGCCTTCAAGCTGGCTGCGGGCAGGTGGCCCGCACCAGCTTTCAAGCATCAGCTGCATGGCCTCGAGCAGCCCTCAAGCTGGCTGCGGGCTGGTGCGGGACACCAGCCCGCACCAGCTTTCAAGCATCAGCTGGCCTCGATTTGCCTTCAAGCTGGCTGCGGGCTGCTTTCAAGCACCAGCTGACCTCGAGCAGCCCTCAAGCTGGCTGCGGGCTGGTGTCCTGCACCAGCTTTCAAGCACCAGCTGGCTCAAGCAGCCCTCAAAGCTGGTGCGGGACACCAGCCCGCACCAGCTTTCAAGCACCAGCTAGCCTCGATTTGCCTTCAAGCTAGCTGCGGGCTGGTGTCCCGCACCAGCTTTCAAGGACCAGCTGGCCTCGAGCAGCCCTCAAGCTGGCTGCGGGCTGGTGTCCCGCACCAGCTTTCAAGCACCAGCTGGCTCAAGCAGCTCTCAAAGCTGGTGCGGGACACCAGCCCGCACCAGCTTGCAAGCACCAGCTGGCCTCGATTTGCCTTCAAGCTGGCTGCGGGCTGGTGTCCCGCACCAGCTTTCAAGCACCAGCTGGCCTCGAGCGGGACACCAGCTTTCAAGCACCAGCTGGCTCAAGCAGCCCTCAAAGCTGGTGCGGGACACCAGCCCGCACCAGCTTTCAAGCACCAGCTGGCCTCGTTTTGCCTTCAAGCTGGCTGCGGGCTGGTGTCCCGCACCAGCTTTCAAGCAGCAGCTGGCTCAAGCAGCCCTCAAAGCTGGTGCGGGACACCAGCCAGCACCAGCTTTCAAGCACCAGCTGGCCTTCAAGCTAGCTGCGGGCTGGTGTCCCGCACCAGCTTTCAAGCATCAGCTGGCCTCGAGCAGCCTCAAGCTGGCTGCGGGCTGGTGTCCCGCCCCAGTGAATGAACGGAACACTACAGTAGTGCCTATTTTTCCGCTTGTGCAACAGGCGTTCCACATTGCACAAGCGTCCACTAGCGCCACCCACCAGCGTTGCTGTGGCTAGGATCGCACAAGCACTCGGCAAACGTGACAAACTGTTGGGCGTGGAGGCCACTTCAATTCGATTTTTACAAATCAATTGAACCTTCTTTCTTTTCCGGAAAGACAAGTCGTACAAGCTGAAATCATTCCGGGGAACTTCTTCCATGTCGGCTTGTGAGCGTAGCCTCGGAAAGTCCTACATGTTCTTCATGCCAGCAAAGCAAATCCAATGCCTATAAAGCGGCTGTAAGCACGGTAACTGCCGTATTCTGCAGCTTGGCGGCAGGCCGCAAGCTTAGGCAGTTCGTCCCTGCGCACCGCCCACTTTGTGTGCTTCATGCCCAAGGGGCGGAAAACGGTCTCAGCCAGGACCTTGCCCGAAACATGCGCGGAACCACCGCCGCCACCGCCATGGCTGAAGCTGTGACATGCTGCTTTTGTTCAAACATTTCCCCAGCCTTGTCCAGCCTCTTCTTTCCAACAACTTCCAGGACTCGTCCCAACACATCAAAGGAAAAGCCGTACCAATAGGAATTCCTGGCATACAGGTGCATCAAGCCAGCATCAAGCAAACTGTCCGCGATACTCTTTCAATACTAATCCATCACCCAGAGTGTATCCGAGGCTCCCTGGATGATCTGAGAGAGGCACCCTGGCAATGCCCCGGGCAAATTCAGCTAGAGTCTTGATCCTCTTCTGCTGCCTCAGACCCCGGTGAACACACAACACCCCGACGCTCTAGCCAAATGCGTTTGACCAAGTACAGTGTCGAGATACACGTCTTGCTGCAGCTGGAGGTAAGCCCTCGAACTCTCATCCTCAACTGTTTCGCCCACGTCCGGGGCATATGCAATTCCTCGGTATGTTGGATAGCAGGTGTCACAAGCGACAATCTTGCAATCTCTTGCGGTGCCTGAGCAGTGGCAAAGCAAATGTTTCAGCAGTATCGGGCGTTTCGTCTCAACAGGGGCATCTGCACCTTCCTGAGATGAAAGCTGGCAGAGAAATTGGACAGCAACCTACACTATGTCACTGCTGACCGCGCCAGCTTTAAGGAGTTCAGTCCAGACTCTGGCTGAACCAAGACCTTGCCAAACTCGGGAATATACTTATCCAGACCTTAAAGGACAACTGCTAAGTGGATTCAATTGCACTTTTCTGCTCTGTCAGGTCCGAGCGATCGTTCAAGTCCAACTTGCCATCTTCTGCAAACCTCAGCCGTAGGAGGCGTGGAGCTCATGCCGCTCTTCACAAGCACCTGGCAAGCAAGCCGCCGAAACACGGCGATGGCAATGAATGGCTTGGTTGCCTGAAGGACCCCACTGACACGGCTTCAATCATCATCGGATAACTGACAAAATGCTACGAGATCGCTCATCAGATCGGGACTACCTTGCTGCCAAAGGTCACAGTACATTCGGCAGTATGTATCGAATGAGAAAGGGGTGCCCCGCTCGACGTCTGCCATGCCCACGGCATCTGCTAGAACTACCTGGACAGGTGTACGACTCTCCAGTTGTTCAGGACAGCGCATGACACTTGTGAGCACTTAGGACACTCCTCGGCGCACGCACTGCTACGTGACGTGTTTTTTTCTCACAAACGACAGCAAACGTCGCCTGGTCAGCCCAGCAGGCATGATTTCGGTCAAGATGGTCAAGGAAATCTTATGCCCTTGAACAACGTGCCGGAGCCAAGACAAGCCGACAGCCTCTCTGCTGTACAGTTGTCATCAGTTGTCATCCACACCCTGCGGATGCCAAATGGCATGAAGCATGCCGGGCTTTGCTGTGACATCACTGCCACAGCAATCCGAAACAGCAAGCCTGCAAAAGAATGTCAAGTTGTGTCACCTTCGTATCCGTCATCTCATTCACTGCTCTAACAAGTCATCGTCACCAGTCCCTTGACAACTCGCATTCCCACATCTTCTAGCGCCCCACTCAAGAAGCACTTGCAAGGCAAGCCCAGGCAAACGGGCAGGCTGGCCAAACGTTGCCTCATGAAGCCAAATGCTCCAAAAGGCTCCATGCCAAACCCGAAAGTCCAGAAATATTGCTTTGCAATGGTGGCTAAACGAATTGTTGTTGAAACATTTGATTCGGAGCCTCACGGGGAAAATCAAGTTCATGCGGTCTCTGTGCGGCCAAATGGTTCAAATCCTGTCTGAGCATGGTGAGTGTTGCTGCGTTGCGAGAACACCGCTCCACCGCTCCACCACTGCTCAGGCGCCGGACCGTGAACTGCGAGGACTCTGAAAATGGAGCGAGCGACAGAGTGCACAAGGCAGGCCAAAGCCGGTTGGAAGCCGGTTGGACAATGTTGACCAGTTGACCTCTTTGCTTTGAAAAGCCCCCCAGCCAGCCCCAACCTGCTTTGGAAAAGACCCCAGTAGATTCAGTAGATGGTCATTGATGGTGCCGTGCACAAGGAGGAAGAAGGCATCCCTCGATACCCCGTGCTCACCGCCATTGTGGCAATGTCACAGCAGCCATTTCCTGGCCAATCGGAAAACATGGCAGCGGGTAGATGCTACCGGAACATGACAATGACATACACTGACTGCGGCTGCTGCTGCTCCCTGATGTCCTCCACCTTCTTGTATGCAACCATGGCTGTCCCGTTCGCCAACTCAGCAAATGCCAAAGCTGGCTAACTTCATTGCGTCTGATCAATTGTGCTTTGCCTTTGCCTTGCCTTTCGCTTCGCCACCTCTCCGAACGAGGCGAACAGGGGGCCCGGCGGTGCTGCGCACGAGGCCTGGGAAGAGGCCCCGGAAGAGGCGGCCACTGCGTGCTGCTTCTGCCAGGAGCTCTCGGCAGCTCCTCTGCAAAAAAGACGCACGAAACAAGCAAAGGCACAACAAAGGCACGTACAAACTCGCAAGCTCTCACAAGCCACGCACGCACAATGAACCTCAATAGCAAATACACAAAAAACATAAACACACACACACATGCACACGGGGAGGCACAGACACACTCACACACGGAAACACGCGCACGTGCGCATGCACGCGCAGACCGTCGGCAAGCAACCAAAACCCACATCCTAGGTCATGAGCAAATTAAAGTCTTTGTGTCACTATGCGAATAAACTTGATTGTTTCGCAAGCCCAAGTCATGGAATCGAAGTTGCCGCTCTGCCTCTGGCTCTTGATGACGTCCTCAGGAAGCAATTCTCCGCCGTGACAGCAATTCCACCCCAAGCCTTACACTCTTGCAGCTTGAATCCCCGAACGGGCAATTCCGACAGTTCTGCAATATCTCAAATCAAGCCGCCAGAGGCCAGATTGTAAGCCATGCCAAATTGGAGCAGATCGCTCCCATCCAGAAAGGTGAGATGCCAGACGGGTTTAGCGAAGACAAGATGTCTCGATAGATGGAGAAGCTGCTGAAGAGCCCCATGTTCCGTATGATGGTGACAGACGAGCCGTGCAGAAGTGTCCTTACAGCATGCCTACCTTGCAAAACAAAATGACCAACTGCCCCAAAACAAAGACCTGATAGGATCCATGAACCCGGATGCAGACACGTCGCACCAACTTCGGCAAGAAAGATACGACGTGAGGATGCGACACGAGGCGACACGAGCACTAGGACACGACACGAAACGAAGGCACCAAACAAAGACACGATACAAGGGAGGACACGACGCAAGGACACGATACGACACGATGCGACACGAGACATGACACGGGTCGGGCTGGTCGGGGAGTGTCCGGACGGAATCCGACACTCGCGGACAACGCTTGCGGACGCATGCCAACGCTGCGCACGGATTGCGCGTCAACTCCCTGACCCCCAGACCCCCAACCTCACTGCTACGCAATAACGTTGCCCAGCATCCGCATGCTCCATGGGTGCTCGACCTGCCTGCAGACCTTCACCAAGTCAAACGGCGCCTGGCATGAGCGAAGGAGTCTCTCATCATTTCCCATTAAATGACTCTATCCGGAGGGATCGCGGAATGTGTACACTTCGTGTAATTTGGGCTGGGGGGGGGCAGTATAGTGAGGTTTTTGTTCGATCAAGAGTCACGCAAGTTGCGGGTCTCATATTATACTGATCAGGTGGTTTAGGTTGAGGTTGAGGGTTTGAAAGCTTGAGGGTTGAGGAAGGGGTTGATGGTTGAGGCTGAGAGTTTCCGGGCTTGGGAAAGGAAGCTGAGGTTGAGAGTTTGAGGGCTTGGGGCCGAGGGCTGGGCTTTGGGTCATTACGCCACGGCCAATCCACTTCTGAAACGTGACGGCGCAGCGACCCACTATGCAGGGAGTGGGAGCGTTTGGAGCCGTGGAGTGTGGAGATTCAGAGAAATTTAAAGCATCCTCAGAAGTCCCCAGAGGCCGTATGCTGAATGCTGGTGCGAAGGTCGTTCTATACACGCCATACTGGTGCTTCAGGAACTGTAATTGGGGGAGTGGGGCCCATAATGATAAATTGAGATGACATGGAATGTTACAGTCACATGACTGACTGACTCACAGATCTCAGCAGACCGTTGGTGCAAGCAGCCAACGTTCATTCAGTGCTGCTACACTAAGCGTGCAGGCTGATGTTGCACAGCGATGCTTGTGTGCCTCGATGACACCACGGGCGAAGCCACCCATGGCACCAGCCACAGCTATTTGCCTTGGTGGTGGCACCTGCTCTTGAAACCTTCAGTGCTTGTCTCTTAGCAGCCCTCGAGCTACTATGCCATGGCACCAATCGAGGAAGCCAATCTTGTACGGAGGGGTCGAGTTTCTGAGATGCCTTGTCACGCAGCTTTGGACCCACAAGCTTGCGCAGTGCAGGACAAACCAAATGTGCAAGAGACCGGAGAGCGAAGTCGTAGAAGCCAAACTGTGCAGATCGAAACATTGTGCCACCAAGTACGACTGGAAGCCCTCCTGCTGAGACTTGAAGCTGTGCAACGGCAAAGCGAACCGGTCCGCCAAAACTGTCTGCTGTCCTCTGTATAACCCCTGCGGCCCTTGGTTCCGCAGGATGTCGGCCCCCACCTTCCATGCGCTTGCGCGCACGGCGTCGGGCTTGGCCTGCCTCGGGACTCAGCTCGGCGCAGCTGCTTGTCGCTTCCCGGGCGCTGAAAACTGAGTCAAGCCGTGGTGCATGCGTGTTTTGATGGTGTCAAAAGGCTGTCCAACCGCTACGGAGGTGAGTCCGTATGCCGCTCCCGCCGTGAAGCTCACAAGGGACTTCCATATCTGCAGCGGGCAGTAGAGGCTGAGGTGCTTCGAGTTCAGCGTACTTAAGCGAGTGCTCACACAGCAAACGTGCTGCGCTCAAAATGAGGGAATCTGAATCAAACTTGCGGAGCAGAGCCTGGCCACTCTTTTCGACGGAGAGTCGCTCGACTTCAACTCCCAGTGGCACCGTGGCACAGCCGCATCCTTCACAACATCAAAAAAGGGTCCTTCACATGAAGGGATATGAAGGGAAAGAGGGCACGGGAATGGGCTACTCGCGGTTAGTTTTTTTTCACTGTCCCATACATCCTTCCCCGTTTGTTCCCTGGCAGTTGGCTGCCACATGAATTGACATTCTGCAAGCCAAATAATACACATTAGTACTGACACATTGATGTTGCATGAATAAACAGACTCGAACTCTCCTTGCAGAAAATACCAAGCAAAACAAAAGCTTAGCTGGTCTCATGGCTGCTTTGGCATCACAAACTATGACTGCGACCTTTAAGTGCAGGCATGGTGGGAGACAGGCCATAATCACTAAAGAAATAGAGAGCAGCCGAGAGAAAAAGAGAGAGAGGGCCGTCCTTCAGACACGTCGCCGAAACCTTTAAGTTGGGTGGCCACATTCGGCGGCATATGAGCGGCCAGGAAACAAAATAACGCAACGGCTTCAGCTGGCCAGCCGCTCGGACCAAAAAGCTGCCGGAATCTGTGTCCGTACCATGTGTTGCAGTCTGCAATGCCTACAAGCCGCTTGCCAAGCAGGAAGTACAGTGCATCTGCGTCTTTCAACATTCTAGCTTCCGCACCTGGTCCTTGTGGTAGGCAATGCTGACGCAGCCCGAGATGATGCCTTTGATAGTGGCTAGATAGCTTGTCGTACTGTCCGCAATCACCAAAACTGCACCCTGACTGCAGAGGCATAGATGAAGGCACAGACATGCACATATGTATACATATGTATATTTATATCTGTATATTCATTTTTCGCTTTCTTAACCCTGCCCATCTTATCTACAGCTCATCCTGCCAAAGAACAACCTCGAAATGAAACAACTCCAAAAGTCACGACTTAAATCCCAAAACCCACCTTTCAAATCCAACGTTTTCAAAAACACTGTCAGGGGGGTTTGGACTTTATTTTGAATTTATGAAATGGAAGACGGTGGTGGCTTTGTGCAAACAAACGGTTTATGGGTCTGAGACATCACCCATTCATCATCGAATCAAGGCGTGCCCACGACGAGGCAGGGCTGCTGATCGCCCATGTTCAAGACGTGGACTTTCGCCAACACGACCCTTCGACCACGAAGGCCCGTGCTTCCAGGCCATTCGCGTCAAGGCTCAACGTCGGAGCAAGAACGGCTTTTTCTGCGCCATTGTCTCACCTCTTAGGACGCGCATCAGGACACAAAAGAATAAAACTCCTGCAAAGATTTGGGGTGGCACTTGGCTGAAGGACCAGGAGCCCCCCGTTCTGAAAAACACTCAAAGCAAGTATAGGAAGCAAGATCCACCCGAAGACTTGTGTCTTGGTTCCCGGTCCCCCTGACTGTTTAGCTGTCAGCTTTCTAATAGACATGGACCCGGGGCATGGAACCAACATTTGCTTCCACATGTCCCATGTGCACAAGAGAGGCCTCCCCCAAGATATGCACGTGTATATATGTGTGTGTGTATATATATATATATATTCTTTTTACGTATCTGATCCCAGCCGGGGACCCTTTCGCACCACTTGCCGCATTTCCTTCACCTCAGATGTCCGTTCCTTTCGAAACTCCCCTTCGATATTCGCTTGATCGGATGACATGTTGGCAACTAGTCCAGAAGCAAGCCGCATAGTCCTGCCTCAGATGGTGTGGTCTTTGCCATTTAGGCTGGCAACAGGTCCTAACAGTAAGCATCAGTAAGCTTCCCGCAGCAACTTGCTGTCGAGACCGGTGCTGGCAGAGTCTACCTCCTTGAAGGCAGCACTGCCTGGAACGTGAGGCTTTGCAAACATCGGGAGTCTTCATCAGAGGCAGAATCTGGAGCATTTCGCAGGCTTATCGCTTCTCGTGTCCATTTCTGGCCTTCCAAAGGTTTGGTTGCCAGCGACTTGGCCTTCCGGCCCTTCTCCAACGTCTTGCGCTTTACGGGCATTGCGTCAAGGGGAATGGAGCCGAAAGCCTGCTAATCGAAATTCTCATGAACACGCATAGGCATATTCGTGAACCAGTTGTGAACTAAGGCAGAAGGCCGAAGGTGCTGTGAGGAGCTGTGCAGGTGTGTCATTGTGCGTCGCTATTCCGGTCCAAGGCTTCCAACTCCGGCGTCCGGCAACGGTTTCTGTCGTACCTCTGCGATGGAGCTCAGCGCAGCCAGGAAGTAGCAGTCTCCGAGCATACCCTGCAGCGAGTCAGGACTCCCAACGTGGAGGTAGGTTAGGTGTATGGTGGGGTTGTTACCGAATATTTGGGCCTCAGAGCACTACCATGTATGTCCCAGCCTTTCTAACAGCCTACTCTTCCCGAAGACGAGCAAGAAGACATTGAAGACACTAAGCGCAAGAAGGGACTGCCTGTCGGACGTCCATGGGCTTGGGCCCTTCAGGCGGAAAGATTTGCGCCTCCGATTACAAAAGCACTCGAACAACTGTGACGCGGAGTAGGTTGCGATCCGCATATGCTCTGAGTCTGGAGGTGGGTGGCCTGGGAACCTTGGCCCCGAGACCACCTGGACTCCATGCACCCCAACCCGCTTCCGCGCTCTCAGCTGTGGCCCTGCGAGCTCCGAACGCAAGCTGGGTGAAGAAGTCCGCCTTGACACGCGGCAATGCCTCCCCAAGTCATGTGAATCAGGGCACCAGAATGGTGCGATGACATGTCGCATGACATGCCAAATCACGTTCCGCACGAGGAAATGCTGAATATGATGGAAGGTGCGCCTGCCAGTCATGGCAAAGTGATGCGGGGCTTGGTGGGAAGCTTGGGTCCTCGCAGTGGGCGTCGAATGATGCATCAGGCCACAAGCTCACTTGGTGGTGGTCGATGCAGCATGTTCAGTAAATGTTCAGTATGCTACGTAACGCAGCTCAGTGGTTTTGGGCATGCCAAAACTCAACAGCCGCTCAGCACCCTACAAAAGGAGAGCTCCTCCCAAGTGCCAGAATTCGTCAATCTGGCCTGTGGCTGTTGGCAGGATATGCCAGGCTACGCCAAGGGCTTCCAGAACTTCAACACGCGAGTATTGTCTACATTGTCTACGTTCTGCCGCTGTCAAGACTCAGCCGCCAGCTAGGAGTGCAGAGGCGCTCTTGAGAGCATCCTCCACCTTGAGAGCTCTGGGAAGCCGCTCCCGAAAATGCTTGAATGAATGCTTGAATGGGTTTGTGAGGCTGTGAGCCGTTGGCAGTCGTGGACATTGGGACACATTGAGACTCATCGAGACTCACCGCGGTTGTCTTCAGACCTCTTCTGGGCCTCGGCAGCGGCAGCAGCGCCAGACGGAGCTCCTCCCTCGACCTCACTGGCTGCCGCACCCATGGCTCTGTTCGCCTTCTCATGGCTCTGCCTTATAAGTTTGCCTTCTTCCGAAGCTGCCGTCCCCTGCGTTGCTCGTGAATTTCGCAACCCCGTGCCCCCATGCGCCAGCCCATAGGTCCGCCCGCTTCCAGAACGCTTCCAGGCACAGAATGCACAGAAGCGTCCTCTGAGGCCCCGTGTTTTTAATCGTTTTGATCTTGTTTGCTTTGATTCAGCAAAAAAGGTTTGATCCGAATACTGGCATCAGCGGCATCGGGCAAAGGCTTCCCAAAGGCTGTGCTGGCGATGCTGGCATGATTGATGTCCGCAGGGAAAAATGCAAAAAAAAACACGTCAATGCTGCGTGGACAAACTGCGTCCTGAGGTCCTCTTCACCAGGCCCAATCAGCCTGTACAGGCTTGTGTCGAGCCTAAAACCGGGTTCGGTCTGCTGGCCTTTGCTCCTGCTCGGCCGGCCTGTCTTGAGCCTCAGAATCGGGCAAAACACTTCGGACCGTGATATTTCTGCTCTGTGATGCCAAGCGGCTCGGGTAGGACTTGGCAAGCTCGTCATCTCGTTAGTGGCAGTGGTGAATGCTGTTCTCGGCTCTGCCTGCAACGACCGCATCAAATTCAAGGAGTCAGGGGTGGAGGGCGGCTCAGGCTGAATTGAGAACTCGTGGGTGGTGGAGTATGCGAGTAGACATCAAAAGATGGGCGCACTTTGTTCTCTCATCGGCTCGCGCCCTCCTCTTGCTTGCGTGTAAACCCACAAAGGATACAAGTAGGATTCTCACATGGGAAGGGCTGCGGTGACAAGGTTTGGGGTGGGAGGCGCCAGCGCAGGTTGGCAGAAGCGTGACGCTTCCAAAACTCGCCGTTGTTGTTGAGTAACCCACCAGGGAAGTAGGCGGAAAACATGTCCGGTCTAACCTCTAGATGTGGGAGAAGACCACGTCTGTCCAATTCTGCCTTCATCTCGGGATAAACCTGTGCATAACCAGTACTTACCCAAGGTGCCAATTCTGCAGAGCCTGGCTGGCGAGGTTCCATATAGTCATAGAAGTATGCCCAGTGTGTAAACTGCACAGGCGACCAAAGAGAATCAAACAAAAGCAGGAAGCCACTCAAGTTTTGCATTCTTGTCTGTCCGTTCTGCTCCTTTGGATTTCCCAGTGGCCAGTGGACATATCGCACTCCTTCAAGGACCGTGTCCCAGGCCACATGCGTATGTCCGAAGGCATGAACCCGCGGACTCACTCGGCGAATCTGTTGCTCAAGGTATGAGGAACCCGAGATTTTCGGCACATGCTGGTCATAGGAGAAGCGCTTCTCCAGAATGAGTTCCTGCAAGGATCAGGCCGAAGGACAAACGAATGATAGCAACTCGAGAATACGATTCCTAGCATAAGCCAAACACAGAAGGTTCTAAGTCCTGGTTAATTAGATCCCAGGAGGAGGGGCGGGCCTGCCGAGGACAGAAATGTGAATAGCTCAGAATCTCTCCGCCTTCACGCTTCTGCAAGTCGAGTACAGCGGAAATCCAGGCTTCATTCCGCTCAGCAAAGTGCTTTGCAAGATGATCTGATGTCTCGCCACCAGGGCCGAAAACAAATTGCGGTGCCTCTGCAAGTGACCCCCACTTACACAAGCGAAAGTCGCTCACTCGCTTTTCAGGATCCACCGGCGGCTGAAGCTGCTGAGGTAGGTCAGGTTCGTGGTCCCAGCTTGAATGATACCATGACCAAAGAGGCAGCAGGAGCAGTGGCTTCGCTCCTCCCAGGATGCGGACCGGGCTGGTAAAAACCTGCAGGGCCTGGCAGATATCATGAATCCGAGCAAGCTTCTCGAAGGAGTCCTTGGCGGGAGTGCAGCCCTTCCGCTCACCGTGAGCCCACGCCTCGTGGTTACCAAAGCAGAAGCAGATCAAATGAAAAGATTCTGTAAGCATTTTCAATGAATCCTCGAATTGTTCGTCAGCAGTGCAAAGATCACCGGGGAGAAGAAGACAATCGAAGTAGCAACTTTTTGGATTCACAGGGTCATGATGACGCAGACTTGCCAGGCAGCTCAACATCCACTCCTTGTTCTTTCTATGGTCAATGTGCAGGTCGGACATCAGGAAGATCCGAAGCCGGTGGCCGTCTGGTATCTTAACATCGGTGACATCGTTACAGTCCGCTCCTGGAAACGCACTTCCATGCCGTTCATGCTTGTCTGTGGCAGCAGCCTCAGCTTCCTCAAGATCATCCCAGTCCAGCATGGGAAGACATGCGACGCGGATCGGCGCGCCGATGCTGCAGCAATGTGCTACCCCAAAATCGTGCTCTTCAGGACACTCTGGGTTGACAACAGCTACAAAAAAACTATAACGGCTGTGAAGAGTCGCACCGCACATGCAGAAAAGCAACTAGCCCCAACACTGGCAACCAAGCACTGCAAGCCTCATCGTCCCGTGACATAGCCTCGGTCGATTGGAATTCTGCAATCTAGCGGATCTAGCGCCTACGGAAAGCCTTTGCAGGCATGCAAAGCGAGGTGACCAGGAGCCCTACAGGAGCCCTATGCGGTATCGGTCTTAGAGGGCACGATGTCGGAGAACCTCTGAATCAAGCACTGCTTGTCAACTCTACATGCAAAACCAATTCCAAACCCTCGCACCTCATCATGTCAAGCACCAGAGCATCGACGGAGGCTCCGAGGCTCCAAGGACAGCTACAGGGCAAAAGCTTGCTTGGCTTGCCTTGCTTGCCTTGCTTGCCTTGCTTCGTGAGTTGCACTGAATTCGATAATTCTGGTTGATTCACGCTGTTCTGTTTCAGGGCCATGCTCTTCTAATTTGGTCCACCATGATTCTCATTCCGTTGCAGACTTCGAGCCTCCAAACCGATGCAGAATGATGCAGGCCTAGACAAACAAAGGTCCAGAGACTACGTTGTCTTCGCGAATCAGTTGTTGAAAGATAGAGCACCTTTATGGCCCATGACTCCAAAGGTTCGCTAAACCTGACACTTTGGTCGGCCACCTGGCTGCCTTGACGCACCTGTAGTGCGCTTGTTCATCACCTTACAAAGTCCGACTCCTTCATTCCATGATGGGTTATAATAGGTTATAACATTTTTCTTTCCATGATTGGTCACGTGCAGTGGTTCGTGTTGCCGTGCTCCCCGTGCACGAAGTACATATAAGTCGTCTTTTGAAGCAATCAGGCCAACACCTTAATACAAGCGGGTGGGTGAACTCACATCTCCCCAGTGACACGCGGCTGCGAGCGAAGTCACATCACCCCGCGCAACGTCGCATCATAGAGACATATGTGGAAGCCTTTCCCCCAATGTGAATGCGTAGCACGCGCATGTTCTCGACACACATGCAAAATACGCACTTGTCACCGCACGCCTGGGAGGGGAGCACATTTTTGTCAGCGTGAATGAGATTTCTGCTTGAGGTTGCAAGTGGGTTCTGACCAATCTTGGAATTCGCGAATCCCCAGTGTGCACGCGCCCGATATGACTTTACACAAAAAGATAGGACTTAACCTGCCCGCTTGTAGCTGGTGCTCATGATGCTCGCAGTCGATGCTGATGAACAGCTGATGCCCATGATGCTCGCTCGACTTTTGAAGCACCCAGGCCACACTACAACAGCTGCTGATGCTCATGCTGCTAGCTGCTGGGTCGTTTTTTGAGGCAATCAGGCCAACACTAGCTGATGCTTATAATGAACAGCAGATGGCCATGCTGCTCGCTGATGCTCGCTACTGTTTCACATTTTAACAGCTGATGCACACAGCGCCCTCTGCTGGGTCACCTTTGTGAAGCAACCAAGCCAAGCTGATGCTCATAATGCTTAGCAGCTGATGCTCATGATGCTCGCTGATGGTTTTTGAAGCAGTCAGGCCGCAGGCCATCACAAAACGACCAAGCAGCGAGCATCGTGAGCATCAGCTGCGAGCATCATGAGCATCAGCTTGAAAAGCGTCCGTATCATGAGCAGCAGCTGCTGCCTGATTTCCTCGAAGGCGACCCAACAGCGAGCATCTGCTGCGAAGATCATGAGCGCCAGATGCGAACATAATGAGCACCAGCTGCAAGCATCATGAGCATTTGCTGTTTTTGTGTGTGCTTGAATGCTTCGAAAGGCAACCCAGCAGCGAGCATCATCAGCATCAGCTGCGAGCATGATGAGCATTAGCTGTTCGAGTGCTGGCCTGATTGCTTCAAAGTCGACCCAGCAGCTAGCATCATGAACATGGTTTCGAGTATCATGGTCATCGGCTGTTCTCAGAGTCACATTAGACTGACGCTCATGATGCTCTCTGTTGCGTCGACTTTTTTTGTGAAGCAACCAGCCAGCATTAGAACAGCAGGCCACACCGGCGCAGCGATGCTCATGATGCTCGCTGCTGAGTCATTTTCGAGGCAAGTCAGGCCAACACAACAGAGCAGTGGATGTTGGTCGCCTTTGATTGAGGTCAGGCCAGCACTGGCTCACTGTTGGGTCGTCTATCAAGCAGGTTGCTCGCTGTGTGAGTGGGAGTATTTGCCGCGCTGTTGGGCATTGCTTCCTGACTAACATATAAAATCCATCATCATCATCATCATCGTCATCGTCATCATCATCATCATCATCAGCGTCTCGTGATGGTTTGAGCAGACTGCACAGCTGGCAGGTGCCGGTCAGGAAGCGCTCGTTTTACTGCAACAGGGAGTGTCGAAAGCACTGCCTGTGTCTGCATCTAGCGGAGCTGAGAGCTGCACGCTACAAGAAACTTGAAACCGCGCCTTCGATTGCAGTTTGAAGTCAGGCCCCCGTCTTACCCGCAGCACTAGTCACCAGTCGCTGGCCACGAGAATGGAATCTCCAATCGTCAGCAATCGAAGCGCATTTGGTAGCTGCTCAGCCTTTTGCGGTGCCTTGGGGGAACAATGGCTCAATAACACAGTCTTTGTCATGCTTTCAGGCCGCCACCCTTTCCGCAAACTAGGACCTGCACGAGCGGCCGCTGCCTTGCGTAACGCGTAGATTTGGGATGATGTGGGCATGAAAAGGGCACTTGGACTTGGGCCTCATCAATGAGATTTGCTTTACTAGCGAAGGTGGTTTCACGGATGGCAAAAAGTCGCCACGTTTCAGTGAGCCTTTACCTGAGCCACCCCATCAAGTCTGCCTGCTCAGCTTTTGGCGGCGCGTCCTGGCAGGGGATCTTCACTTCGAGTCAAGTGTCGATGTGCACGACCTTCAAGACCGTTGTCATTTTTGAACGTCCACCCGGCGGAGAGGAAGTTCGACCCGAATTGCGCGAATCATCTTCCCACCCTCCCCTGCACTTTCATGTAAGAAGGTTAACTTAATCCGAGCATCTGTCTAATGAATACATCCAAATTTGAAGCAAGTTTTTCCGTCCAGAAGCCCGCCGGAAGACTACTTTCCATTACGGGGGTTTCGTATGGGCCAGTACCACCACATTTAAAGAACATGTTCTCGGGGGGGGTTCCAAAATCTGTCGGCAGGCTTCTTGTTTTGCTTGCTGAGCTGCGAAGCTACAGCACCTCAGGGATCTACAGCCTATTGTTGTTCATAGAGAATCATTACATTCCCATGGTCTTTTTTGCGGCGCCCTGCCTTTCTTATTGTTCTGGGGGGGAGGGGGGGGGGTGTGGCCCACAATTAAACAGATGCTCGGATTAGAACCAGGAAGAATCTGGCACTATGTGTCTCGAATCCCGACACCTGCAGAATCTGTTGAAATTCACCGTATTCGTGCGACTGTAAGGCAGAAAAGGATTCTCTGAAGGTTCAAACTACGCATGCTGAACATGGTGGAAAAGGCCTTTATTCCAATCTCGTGCGTGATTGGTGATGAATAGTTTGTAGGGTTGCAGACGAAAATTCTTGCCGGAGCCTGCATGCACAATGTACGCCTCATACTGCATTGCGGCTTGAATTCAATACTGTGTTCGTCCTTCACCATGCTAAACGCCGTGAAGGCAGCGATGTTGCCAATGACCTGCAGTAAAGAATGCGATTTAACGAGGTTGTTAGGTCGGCGTCAATCTTGAGCCCCTGCAGCAAGAAGAAAAACCATGCCGTAGTTTCCGGGTGGCAGCCCCTGCACAGATTCCGAGATTGGCAAAAGTTTGTTACGTACATGCGACGCATGACATGAACAAATGCCGGAACCTCCAAGCCAAGCGCTAGTGACAGGGCGATGGTTGCAGCCTGCCAATAGACTGCACATGCCGCGGCTGAGATACGGGTTTTAGGGGAGGGGGGGGGTTGGGGGATGGCCTTGTTGAAATTGCCTGCAAAAGTGGCATGCGTTGCAGATAACTTGTGCACCTTGCGCAATGCAGACAAGTCAGACGCACAGCAGATGATCCCTGCGGTTTGCAATGGCTCTCAATGAAGGCTGCCGTAATCCAGGGCGCCATGGTATACTGCAAGATGTTGTAGAAAAATGAAAGCACCTCGAATTATGGCAATCACACCCTGGTCCATCTGGCAGCACTTACCAGCTGCTGTGCTTGCGCATTTGGCTTTAGCTGCTTTCTGTTTTGTGGCCCCGCACGCCGGAGACCAGAACTGGAAGCAGAACAGAAGGCTTCGTGGACCTCTGAGCGTCTAAGGCCAGTGTTGCAACCCCGGTCAGAACTAGTTGACCGAAATGACCACAAAACTCGCCAATCAGAGGCAGCTACATGACCTCTTGCAGCACCTGCCAGTCTGTCATGCTTCCTGTATCCGGCCTGGCGCCACATGCATCGGGTTAAGACATGCCCGAACACAGCATCGATGAATCATTTAGGGGAAGGCGTTGATGCCTACCCGTTCTCCTTGCGCATCAACATGCCAGCATGTCCACTGGCTGACGGGGTGATATATCAGGAGAGACGGCCCAATCAGAGCGAGCCTGAAGGATGCCACAGCCAAACGCTCCATACTCTATGGTGCGCCCCACAGACTACAGAGCGATAAACTGAGAACTGAAAGCCATACATAAATCCTAAACTCTGGAGGTGGGGGAGAGGATGGTCACTCTTCACTATAATCAAGTTAATATAAGTTAATCCAACAATCTATCCGACAGCCCGATAGCCCGCTGAACGGAAGACACGTAAGCATCGTGAAGCTTCTCGGAAGATGCTGGGTTCTGCACGCGGTCGGCAATGACATGTAGCATGTCGTATCTAACCTGAAGGTAAAGAAACGACAGAGGTCGTACGCTCGCATTCCTTCTGAAGACAAGCATGTTGCCGGTGCTGGAACGACTTGACCGAGCGCTTGGCGGGTTCATCTTCATGCTTGTACCCAGGATGCTTGCCAACACCATGTTGAGGGCACCCGCAAAGATGCTGCAAACGGTCACGATTATGCCAAGCCTTCAGCATGCAGCAAATCACATCACAAGGTGGTGGGCGGCCTTTCGCATCCAGCACCCGTGACCCATTGACAGGCACGCTTCCACGCTTTTCGGGTTGGCTTCACAGGCCTCACCCCTACAGTGACAGCCTAAAAGTTGGAAGGTGTGAATTGGAACGGTTGACCGGAAATCCAATCTTCCACCTTTCGTTTTCCAGGGCTCCCAAATCTTCCAACTTTGCGTTGGCTCCCCCACACTGCGAGTCGGTGGTCGCTTTTGTTGGCGGCTCCACAGTCCACTTTCCAACTTTAGCTTTTCAGGGGGAGAACCAACAATGAATTCTTAAATGCTTGGTCAAAGCACCAAGGCCACATAAGGACACGATTTCAGAAACAAGCAAAAAAGGCATGAAACTTGAGTTTGCAAAACACACTCGCCAAGGACACATTGTCCATAAACATGAAGTTGGAAGAAACAGAAAGTTGGAAGAGTCAAGTTGGAAGATTTGAAAGTTGGAAGCTGCTCAAGCCAATGTTCAAAAGAGCGGAAAATTTGGTTGGACACCTTCCAACTTTTCGGCTGCCACCATATTTGGACCGAAGTGCAAGAGTGCAAAACTTGGAAAAACTCTCCGTGGAGCAGTGTCAGCTGCCTGTGGCAGAGACTGAAGCAAAGCTGAAAGCTGGGGAGCAAAGCCCCAGAGCCTTCGGACCGAAGTCCCCACTCCAATCGCGGATCTGGAAAACATGCCGAAGTGTCTTCTGTTTTGAGGCACCGTGGTGCACACGATGAGGTGATTCGAATCGTCTGATTCGAAAGAGAATCACATGTACTTCAGAATCTTCAAAATGCCGAGGTAGTTCTTTCTTAAGAGGGCTTGACTGTACTTGTTTTGTTGGCCTTGCTGGCGCCACAGGAGTAACACGAACAAAATCTCGATTGGGGAACTGTCTTCTAGGACTGCGAGCTCCAGCATGCACTCTCTCGGTTGCCGGCGTGAGCGCGGCAGATTCTTCAGAGCTCTTCTGCGAAGTTGTCTTGGCCTCGGGCGATCACTTCTCGTCACCCTAAGCCGAATATGACATGCCAAGGGTGACTAAAAAGCAGTGCCAGCCATGCAGTCTCTTTAGACTGTTAGCGTGTCCGCTGAGCCTGCAACATAGCTGGCTACCCCAGCGCAACATACGCCTGCCAGCAGCCCAAAAATGTACACACTGTATTGGAGATGATAGATGACAAGTGATCCGAGCACCTCGGTACAAAAGCCAACAAGAAGCCAACAAAAGCCCCTAACGGGCTCTAACGCCAAATGAAAGTGCCCTTCTGATCAAAAGGACTCTGAAGTTTCAGAAGCGGAGGCCTGCCAACATCAGAAGCCACTTCGTCAGGCCGATGGACTGAAACACGGGGGTGGTTTTCAAATGTGAGGACATGTAAACTCAATGTCAATGAACCTGATCTATCATATCTGACCTATGTGCATGTGGTAGAAGTAGTTGGTGGCGGAGCTGGCCTTCCGTTGGATCCCGAGCAGAGATCCCAGCAGCAGCTCAGAGACTGCCTGGAATGGAAGTGGAGTTCTGGCAGTATTTGTTGCGGTTTTCTGCTGTTGATGAGGCCATGACCGTGGAGAGCGGCAGGCAAGTTCGGATGATCATGTTGATCCTTGATGAGGCAAGCAGAGCATAAGTACGTCTTGGGAACGCGTTGACAGATGGAGTATTGACTGGCTTTTGCGAGGGAACTTCTCTCACAATGCAACTCTGTCTGAGCCATTGGCGAGATTGCTACCAAGGACAAGCTGAAGTTGTTCAGACCGATGTTCAACGCGAAAGCCATGCTGAAGCAAAGGACCGCCACCTAAGAGCGAGAAGGGAACTCAAAGGCGTTTGCCTTCTCCTAGGTCAGCGAATGTCTGCGGATGCTACCCATTCTTTGCCAGTCTTCAGCTGCTTCACCTCGTAAAGTCACACAGAAGCAAATGGGGAAGCAATGGTCAGCAGCTTGAAGATCTCTCCGAAGACCAGATTTGGGCGGAGTGCAGATCGGGTCTCGGGAGGGTCGTGCGAAGGTCCAAAGGTCTCCACAGGCCCCCGAAAAAAGCCGCTTTACTTGGCCCGCGCGCCTGGTAACCGGCACAGCAAAGCCGACCTTGCATGGGGCGATGCGCGTGCAAAAACGTAGAAACCAAAATCTCCCAGGGACAGAAACATTTTTTCCGAGCTGGCCGAGGGCGTTAAGAGATACTAAGACTGCTATAAGGGCTTTCTCATGGGAGCGGGCCGCATCGGGCTGCCACGCATTTGCCACACCTTTGATGTTGAGAGCTTTTCGGCCCACTTCTGTGTTTCCTCTTTGCGTTTTGCATCGTTTTTTGCGCATTGTTCGCGGTGGTCGACATCGATCGGGGCTGAAGGCTCCAAAGCTCTGGCCATTGGGCCTTACACGCCTTACAACCTCTAGGGCCTCCAGGGCCTCCTGCCCTTCCTTTCGCGCCAAATGGGATCTGCGGCTCTACATTTTGCACTTTCATCCTTCTTCCATACTCACTGCTCGAGTTCAGTCCTGGCCAGGGCAGAGCGGTCGGGCATGCAACATATATAGGCTGGCTCAGCCTGCGAGGAGAAAGATGCAAAATGCGATGAAGGCTACCATCCTGAGCAACAGGGTAAGGAAACCGGCCAAGTCGAAAATCTGAAGCTCACGGAGATTCGCTTTGTTCAGCTGAGGGAAAAACTGCTGGATAGCTGTGAGGAGGAAGCCAATGGGCAGCCCCCGTCTGCCTGAAGGCTGCATGACATTGTGCAACAATGACTTGAAAAGTCCCCCTACTCAACTCCTGGCCTTGTTCCTCATCAACCACGATTCTGGACAGCACATTCTTAATGTATAAGTTCATGCCAGTCTGCGCCTCCAAGATCTAGACCGTGGAGGTGCTTTCTGAAGGAAGCTCGCCGCTAGCCAGAAGCACAAGCTCAGGGTGCAGCCCCGAAGTAGATCAACAATATGGCCACGGTTTCCGGCCCTGTTGCTGCCAACACTTCAACCATTTCAATTCAAGTGACAAGAGCAGGGCCGGGACTAACACCAGCTCACTTCCAGCCTCCCATTCCGTACAAGGCTAAACCGCCCAAGAGGGCAACTGCTGGCGGCGCCTGTAGTTCAGAGGAAAAGGCTGGCTACACACACAGCGGCCACAGCCCGTTCAAATTGCCAAAATGCCCTACAAGAACTGCTCCACAAGCAAAGGCCGGCGCGGCTTGCTTCACGAAGCCCACGGATGCAAATGCCGTGTCCAGCTCCTGCACTGACTTTTTTCCACCGCTCAAGGGAAGTCCAAATGACCAGGCATCCTCACTCTCGCCGCCATGGCTCGACAGTAGCCAGCAGCAGAAAACCTTACCGACAGAAGTCAGTGCCAGTGATAAGAGACGTGCTGAATCATCGGCCTCTGAGTTGCCAGGGCTGTTGCACTCCGCGGCTGAAAATGTTCGAAACCATCTGGGTGACACCTTTCGGCCAAGCCACCGCTGCTGCCAGGACCAGGAGTGAAGCGCAGCGCTTGCGCCGCACGCGTTTTCCTTGGAGCAGCGAGCGGTTCGGCATATCTGCGCAGTCGGGTGACTAAAGTAGCTTGGCCACTTGGATGCGCTCTCGCCTTCTGTGCGGGCGCACTGCGACTTCGCATCAGAAGAGCTTGCGCAGCTTAGCAGACTCTAGCAACAGGTCGTGGGCCTCAACGTGGGCAGCCGGCACAAGCTCCTCAGAGCATTTTTCGACTCTGGCACATCAAGATGCGTCATGTACTGACTCAATGTACTCTCACCTCACAGGCTTCCCTTCTTGGGCCCCAAGCCATCGGTCGAGGGAAAAGCGCCCAGCTCACATAACATAACAACCGGAATAAACCAATACAGCTGTGGCCACACATGCTCAAAAGAAATGAATTCCATTTTGTTCAAAAAAATAAATGACAATTTTCGCCAAACCAAATATATCCGAATGGATGAAAGGTGAACCTTTACAAAAGAAAAAAGAAAAGAACGAAATTGATTTATTTTGCACTTGTAGATTTCTAGATCTCTATGATTATGGAAATAACCTTTCTCTATAGTCATTTAAAAGATTCCATATCATCAAATCTCATTTTTAGAACAAATAAATCATACGAAGATATCTCGCAATATGATAAAGATGAATGCTTCGAGAATATATATATATATATATATATATATATATATATATATATGTACGAGGGACCTTTGTGCACTATTTGGCGCGTGGCTTGTGGCCTACAATACAATACAAGAATTTAAGGAATTTAAGGAATTTAAAGAAATCCTTAAAATCCTTAATTCCTTAAATTCTGGAAATATTTTATTTCAAGAATTTAAGGAATTTAAGGAATTCAACGACTATTTGGTCAAGTTCAACGAGCTGTTTTGGCACGAGCTGTTTGGTCAAGTTCAAAGAGCGACGGTGCGAGCTATTAGGTCAAAGTCGAAAAGCGGTTTTGGCGCGAGCTATTTTGTCAAGGGGTTAAACCCTAAGTTCAAAGAGCGGCTAAGTAGCTCGCGCCAAAACAGCTCTTTGAACTTGACCAAATAGCTCGCGCCGAAACTGCTCTTCGAACTTGACCAAATAGTTTGCGTCAAAACCGCTCTTTGAACTTAGGGCTTGAACCCGGAAGGGGGGGAAGGGGGGGAAGGGGGGGAAAGGGGGGGAAGGGGGGAGGGGGGGAGGGGGGGAAGGGGGGGGGGGGGGAAGGGGGGGAAGGGGTGGGAAGGGGGGGGAAGGGGGGGAAGGGGGGGAAGGGGGGGAGGGGGGGGAAGGGGGGAAGGGGGGGAAGGGGGGGAAGGGGGGAAGGGGGGAAGGGGGGGAAGGGGGGGAAGCGGGGGGGAAGGGGGGGAGGGGGGGAAGGGGGGGCAGGGGGGGAAGGGGGGGAAGGGGGGGAAGGGGGGGGGGGGGAAGGGGGGGAAGGGGGGGAGGGGGGGAAGGGGGGGAAGGGGGGGAAGGGGGGGAAGGGGGGGGGAAGGGGGGGAAGGGGGGGAAGGGGGGGAAGGGGGGAAGGGGGGGGGGGGGAGGACGGGGGGAGGGGGGAGGACGGGGGGGAAGGGGGGGAGGGGGGAATGGGGGGGAGGGGGGGAAGGGGGGGGAAGGGGGGGGGAATGGAAGGGGGGGAAGGGGGGAAGGGGGGGAAGGGGGGGAAGGGGGGAAGGGGGGGAAGGGGGGGAAGGGGGGGAGAGGGGGGGAAGGGGGGGAGGGGGGGAAGGGGGGGGGAAGGGGGGAAGGGGGGGAAGCTGGGGGAAGGGGGGGAAGGGGGGGGGAAGGGGGGACAGGGGGGGAAGGGGGGGGAAGGGGGGAAAGGGGGGGAAGGGGGGGGAGGGGGGGAAGGGGGTTGAACTTGACCGAATAGCTCGCTCAAAAACCGCTCTTTGAACTTGAGCAAACAGCTCGCGCCAAAACAGCTCTTGGAACTTGGCCTGCGCCAAAACAGCTAATTGAACTTGACCAAACAGCTCGCGCCACAACAGCTCTTTGAACTGACCAAATAGCTTGCGCCAAAACCGCTCCTTGAACTTGACCTTGTAGCTCGCGCCAAAACCGTTCAAGCAAGAGAGCGCCTGTAAACCTCAACATAATGGTTCGTGTGAATGAAGAAGCTTATGGATGTGTGGGGGATTCTTGGAGGTCAAGTAAAAACGGGTATTTACGGTGGTATTTTGCAGTTATCTTATCAGCTGTTCATTCACTCTATTAAAATTGAGACTTGGGATTTAGGGTTGAGGGTTGCTGCGATTTGGCGCAGCAGTTGCGAGTAGGGCCCAAAATAAACTCGAAGGCTTCGCAACATGCGAAGGGCATCTTTGGCCCGATTGTGGAGGGCCATTTAGAGCATGTTTCTCCGACCCCACCCCAAACCAGTTCCGTTTAGGGCTTGGGACCTGAACTCAGAGAGGTCCATCTAGGTCAATGCCTTTTTCTCATACAAATGTTTCCGCTCAAATGGGAGCCTCCGTGCTTGGCTTCTTCAAATAGGATTTAGGGTCCAATGGAGGACCGAATTTTTGTTCTCGGCATAAGTGCAGATTAAATAAGAAAAGTCACAAATTTTTGGATATGGCACGCGGACGAGCCTAAGCTAAACATTCCTTTTGGTGGTGGTTAACCTGCTCGTTACGTCCAGAATAAGGTCCAAACCGACGAGGATCCTAATTAGGACCCTGAACCCCAAACCTTAAACCCAAAACCCAAAACAGTAGGATACAGTAGGGCTTTGCAGCCCTCAGGAGATGAGGGTTGCGGGATGCGAACTGTTCTGTCAAGCACCCAGGCGCGCACGGGACCAAAACTATTCAACGGCAAGTCTGTGACCGCACGGCAGAGACTGATGCTGCAGAGAAGCCTGGCTTTGTCACTTCGGAATGCCGAGCTACCGCCCTCGAACGAAGACTGTCCACAGTTGTTTTCTCGACTCATTGCATCGAGGTGTTTGGATGAGGTATCGAATTCGCGCCACCAGTCTCGGCGACATGCTCCCATGAAGAATTGTTTATGTTGTCGGCCTGGAGAAAAAAGATTACGTTGGCATGAACAACAGCCAACATCCGGCTCAATCGCAACCGCTGCCATGTGTGATCGGTGATGTTACAACAAGCATGAGAAAGTACCACGCTAACTTTCACGTCGAGTTTACAACAACTCCTTTCAGGAATGCTGTGTCTTTCAAGCGGTGGTTGCGCCAACCAGGCAAGACGGAGACACATGGCAATCCTTTGCAAATCGTATGTCTGCATGCAAATGTCGTCGAGATGGCGAGGAGTAAACATGCGCTGGCGTGTGCCTTCATGCAGTGGCTCATTCGTGACCGTCGCTGATAATTCCCTTCGGCTTCCAGGGAGCAGGATTCAACAGCATTTTCGTTTCAACGGTTGTTTCACTTTGCTGAGCACCTGTTCCTGGCTCGACTCGAGAATTCGCTTGCGATTATGGCATGGGCTTTCGTGTCACGATCACAGCTGCATCGACCCTCTTCAAGAACACCAAAGCAGCGTCGCGGCAGTCGGTGGTTGAAACACAAGTCTGCCTTTTTTCTGTGCATCAAATGCGGACCGTAACTTTCTGAAACAAATTGCATATGATCCGAAAACATAACATGAACACGACTGTCACCTGCACATGTACAACACGGTAGCTACCATAGCAGCCGGCAGCTACAGGTAGCACACTCAAGACCCAACATGCTGGTACGACATACTGCGTTGCATCTTAAAACGTGAACAGAGCCACGAGCACAACTTCACGTGCCGATGAAAAATCACCAAATCCGTCTACGCTACGACGATTCCCGTTTAACTTGGGTCCAGCAAAGCGAGTTTATAAGCGAGTTGGTCCCCATCCCGACGAAGGCAACTAGTATGGAGTCCCTGCTGGCGTGGTATAAGCATTAGGCCCTGCGCAGCATTCGGGCGCAGAGATGGCACGGTGAGAAAAGCAAACCGAAGGAGAGAGAGCCGAAACACGGGTTGGCATCTTGGTCTGGGGCAGTCGCTCCAGTGTGCATGAAGCGGTCAACAGTTGCGTTGATGTTTTGCTTTAGCCACAGTTTCAACGAGAGCCAATATATTGGATCGGTGCAGGCTAGCAAAAAGATTTCAGGGGCCACTTGTTTGATGTGCGCATGTGGCTTGCAGATCAGTGGGGTAGGGCAGGACACCGCTTGAAATCTAAGAGTTTTTCCCTTATTTCCGAGGATGGGTGCATGCAGAACCACGCATCGCGGACACCAATAGCTTATTGTAGACTCTTCTAGTGCCAGAGAGCTCCCAATGTGTGCTTCACGAGGTGTCCGCCTCACAGTCCCGAATTCACCGGCTCGTAACTGACTTATGAAGACGAGAGACAGAGAGAGAGAGAGAGAGAGAGAGAGAGAGAGAGAGAGACGAATTGCAATAGGTATAGATATCAATGAATAGATAGACAGTGAAGATAGATAGATGCATTACAGAGAGAGAGGGAGAGAGAGAGAGAGAGAGAGAGAAAAAAAAAAAGAGAGAGAGATAGAGAAAGAGAGAAAGGGAGAGAGAAAGAGAGAGACGGAAGGGCATGGGACAGCATGGGACTTACCGCCAGTCTGAGCTGCCAGCCAAGGACTTGGAGCCTGTGGCGCGCTCCTTTGGAAGAGCAAGCCGTGAAGGCATCGGAGCCTGCAGCCGCATATCCACATTGCATCGACATTACATTGACATGTGCTACAATCTGCACAATGGTAGCTATGGAATTTCTTCAAGCCTGCGGGTAGCTGAAGGCCTGACTTGCTCTGACAGCTTGACCAGTCCAAATCGAGCACTCAATTTGGCTCAACTCCACACATATCTCCACACCTTCTGCAGAAAAGAAGTTTCGGTGCCGACTCCCAGACCCCAGGCAACGAGCCCTGGCCAACAAATGCACGGAACATCCAAATCATCGCTTGTAGACAAGAAAGCTACCTGTCAAGTTGCTGCCACAAGCCCTGCCTCTCTCTTTTGGTTCGTGGCAAATTGATTTCAGCACCTGTCACAAGCATCGATGAGACCCCTGTTTGTGTGGGTATTTGAATGTTT